AATGAGAAAACTAAATACAATACTTATTGTGTCTTAAGTATTGTATTTATTTAGTTAGCTCATTATTTACCTAATTTCAGATTTCTGTAGTTTCTACATTCAATAGTTATAAGAATGTTATCTGAGTTATAAGTAAGTATTATTATGTAGTAGGCTTGTAGCAACGTAGTCAAAAATATAATTACTTAAAAACATTCGCAGAATTTGTTTGACTCAAAGCTAAGTAATAAATTGCTCCACCTTTGGAATCCACTTTAATCTTGATCTCTTTTGTTAGGTCTACATTTAGCCTCTTTATACCTAGTTTTACCATTAATTTATTAATTATTTATTTATTAATCACCTACTAGACACCGAGTATATTTATAAACAAACACACATATCCGCGACAAGAAGCTTTTTAGCTATTCAATACTGAACGGTAAGATAGACAGTTCCTCTGTTATTGAGAATTCACCTCAGAGTGAAGCTCGCTTATACCTTCGGCCTAATTATCACTATCCATCAGGTGAGATACAGGCCAAGAGCTTCCTCATTGTGGATATAAAAAAAAACTTATGTCTAACACCTTGAAGAATTGGCAGAACTAATCTACGAAAAATTAAGATTTAACGACGGTTCTGAATTCGCAACGGTCACGACATTCCGGGTCCATACTTGCTGCAGGCAAAATTGATTTCAACCATTCAGTAAAAATCTGCATTATTTATTTTTTCTATGACAGATTACATCACCCAATTTTTTTATGCAGAACAAGGCAGTATTTTGGCCGTAATCGCCAATATCTGATATTAAGTGAGATGCAGTGAGGGTGAACTGTACGTGCATATTTAGGTGCTCAGTGTAAATGGAAAGCATTCAGGAGTGGACGTCCTATGGCTGAGATAATGATGATGATGCTGAACGCTGAAGTAAATGTCTATTTATTATCACCTTAAAGAAGCTTATCAAACATATAAGCTTACGTCATAATATTGGATATTTGTTATCCCGGAAATCTAGTTTCCATTCCCAAATGGAAAGATCAATTGGGTCACTTGTTTCCTTGTAACCATAATCTTATATTTTTTACTTTGAGGGCTCAAACACAAAGTAACAGGATATTTTGAGGAAAACCAATTGCAATTCAACACGGTGTCTTTACGAGGTTGTACACCCAAGATCAGAACAAGTTGATCGTATTGCAAAAGGTCAATGTGACGTAATTTAAGAATCGTTGGGTAGTCAGTTTTTTTCACACGAAAAGAAGTATAAGATGAATCTTTTCATTTTGGAAACTAAAGAGCCCAGTATACAACAAAATGTACTGAAAGCACCAATGCCCATACTTGGTCATAACAATAGTTTATGTATAGAAAGGCAATCTTTGTCGTGCGTGCCCATAATGCCCCTTATAAATAAGGAGATTGCCCTAAACCCATAACCGACCGCTGTCGGCCACGGGTCTTCCTGGGGTTTGTATCTTGTAAATAAATAACTTAATCATTGGAAGCATTCCAAGTTGTTCATGTTTCTATATTAAATAGCTCTATTTTGAATTAATGTATCGCTGTTGTGTCACCTGAATTTGTTTAGCTAAGAAAAAATAATGAGAGAGAGATAGACATGGCTACTCTTTCATTTACAATATGAATGCCGTGTGAACGGGCCTTTTTGACAAAGCGGGTCGCTACTGTGTCGCTACTCACTACGAAATGCACTTTGATGGGCCTTGTACTGATCGGGCTTATTGGAATGTCCTCCATACTGCATTTGCCCGTATGTGGTATCCAGTCAACAGCCTTTTTTACCAAAAAATAAAAACAGACAACTTTTCCCTATCTCAATTTTGTGGCAAAGCGTTCTCCTTCTTCTTCCTCGGTCCCTCACTGATGAGGATCGCGACCACAGATAGTGTTCCTCCACAGACTGCGGTCATAAGCTGTGTGGCAAAGCATTATTCAGTCCCAAAAGTGTAAACACACAGGTCACACGTTAAGCACATTGTTCGTTCATGGCGAGGTATATTCTGAAATGAGATCATTGGCTGAGGTCTTATTCTTCGTAATACCTAAGACTAAACCGGTTTTATACAGCCAGATCATAAAAATACTTAATAAAAAACTCCTTAACATCGTAAATGGTACACATAAAAATCAACAAACTCCGTTATCGGATCCACCATCCGAAACCGGGAAATCTGCTAACTTCACTCGACGAAGACGACCTTTAAAACTGCATTTTATATGCACATGGTACCATCCAGCCTTGTAAACCTGGGTGCCAGGTACATAGCTAATTGGATGACTCACCAAAGTACGGTTAGCACAGCAATCACTGAGAAAAAATCAAGGTAACATAACTGTGAGTCACCACAAGGCCTGAATTCTTGTCTGTGCACTGACTAATAATTTGGAATCTATTTTGGTGTGAGTAATAGCTCAGAATACATACATAATAATTTGGCGTAATAGCAGGCCTGTTCATCTCCGCGAGTTTAAATCGAAAACAAAACACGCACGATGGCCCACCTACAGGATACTATTCGACAAGGCCTCACATACGAGCGAACATTGACTCACGCACGCGTATTCTTGTGTAGGTATGACGGAAGAAAATAAAGAAATGTGCAGTATTTAACTGCCTAAATAATAATAAATACACAGAATGTATTTTTTTAAGTTGCCTCAAGACACTGAGAAGTAAATATGTAGTTAATATTATTCATGATAATTCATGCTAAATCATGTATTTCCTCCGCCATTTTCCGCAGTTTGGCACCTCACGTCACATCATTTTACCGAAGTCAGCCCTATAGCTTCGGCGCAGTGCCGATCACTGACGTTTGTCAACAAAATGGTGCTTGACTCTTGAGACAGGCTAAAGTACATACATACATTTTTTTAAATACCTTCGCGAAATAAAACTTCTGTACGTAGTACTTATTATTATTCTGTGGTAATAGTGCCAAGAAGGAGATATTTACGTACACGGAGTAATTGTAATTTTCGTAACAGGTATAAAACAGTTTATTCACTTATGCAGTGCTTATTGTGCAATATGCTTATACAAAATTGAAAATGAATTATAGATAAAGTATGTACATAATTTGATTGAGGAAAACTTTGCATACTTCAGGAAGTTCAAAATATCGTTTTATATCCTATAACAACATTGTCATTTGTATCAGCAGCATGTTAAAGTAAAACAAAACTTGGGGTCATTTGTTGTCCGTTCGTATTACAACACTACAAAAAAAAAACACACTTATATGACACACCAACGTAATATTATGTTTTTTACAGATTTGATACTATGGAAAAGTATAAAACAAGTAAAGCTCTTAAGTAAAGTCACGTTCCCACCTTGTTGTAAAAGGATGTTATGACATGACAGAAGCACGTAGTAAAATAGTACTAAGATTTAGGGAATGACCTAAGTTTGTTACTGCTTACATTAGGGTCTAACAGAAACTACACTGTTATTACTTAGTACAGTTTTCGGGGTAATGGAAAGTGCTGACAAAAGTAATAAAGATAAAAGTAGTATTAAGCCGATAGGCGGTTTTGCTGACCGTAATATATTTGGGACAATTGTGCAAGCAGAGTTTGCTTAAGCAAGCGTTACAGAATATTTGGTGTTATCACTGATTGCTATCGATCGTTTAACGCCTTTATTTACTTAACAGCTTAATGTGTAATTTGACTAATTAAAACCACTATTACCTTGTAGTAAGGTTCAATATTACCTGTAGACCTGAAAATGTTTTACGATAAGGTATGCTTTTCTCACGTAAGAACTGAAGGCATTCAGGATGGAACGCGGCAGCATGGTACTGAATACAAAAAATCGACGGCCGATGGACGTACGATTTAATCGAGGCTGAGAAGAGTTAATTAGATTTAAAAAAATATAACGATTTCCACCGAAATCCCGTGGTTCTCCATAGCAAAGGAAGATACAAGAAGTTTTGAACTTCCATCATAAAGAGTAACTATTTATGCATCTTTCAGTCGAGTTGAAGTAGAATGACCTTATTGAAATACTAAAAAGACTTTGTTTTTAATTAATTACCAAAAATATGTTTACATTTCTGAATAAATAAAGCATGCATTTGCATACAGTTTATATTAAAATGGCTTTAATTAACAATTATCTCTTTGGAAGGTATGCATCCTCCATAGTCCTCCGTTTTGGATAGTCCCGTTTTATGCATTTTGACAAAAAAAGATATGTATTTACTTTTTACAATTATAAAGATAACATTTAAAGTTATGTCACTTGGTCTTATTGCATTGCTAATAATATATCAGTGCATTAATAATACATATTTGCAAAACTTTCGGTCTAAGATCTTGTTTTGTTTTTTTAAGACTTAAGGCAGACAATAAGAATTATAATCTTTGGACAAAAGCGACAAGCGACATTCTGTTTCTTTTTTTCTGTTCTTTTTCTTACTATAGTAAATATTTGCTTGGCAATTTACATATTTGCATTGTTGTGAGGCAAAGACAAGTGAGTATTACGATAGGTCAAGGTAAAATCTACATTGTTCAACTTCGCATATTTAGATTTCAGAGATGAGATTCAATGCCGAAATATTAAAGGTGTATCTATCTTTATTTCCAGTAAATGTGTTTTTCATTTTACAGTCTATTGGAGGATAATAATATAGCTCCTAATTAAAAGGTATTAATTTCATACTTTGTTAAAAGTTAAAAATATAACAATATTAAGAATAACGCATACATGCACGTTCATGTATGCTTTTCATTAGAATTAATTAGACCTCAAAGAACTGCTTTAATTACGGGCACAGAGAAATTCCATGAGAAAAAATTATAATATATTATTATGTGAAAATATTCCTCAGATATTAATTAGTATAATTAGTCTACTTTGATTCCAAAGCAATAAACTATTAAAAATCACACGGCTTAACGAGCTAGAGGACACGTGTAGTGCGCAACAATCGTTTGTTGACAAACATTACTAAAAAAACATCAATTCAGAATACTTACGATGTTCGTGAATAATTCAAAAGTTTGTTTACACTGTGAGGCAATATGCCTCGGAGTACCGCCACTGAGCCCTTCCTACCGCCACATCACTTTCGAACCGTTGCGTAAACTGTCAGTCGCGGGTGCAACACGCGTGCGTCGGTTCCGACGGCCAGCACAACACTGCTGGGCTTGCGAAAGAAACACTGCGCGCACGCAGCACGCCAGTCAAGAATGACCCTTGCATTTTCACAGAAGCAAGCAATTTGGCTTGTTGGCGTCATAGTCAACTTGAATGGTAAGTCATCTTCTTGCTAACGCTTGATTTTTATCTTGGTTTACCTACTTACACATACACGTATCATCAACTTAGTAAATCATGCTCAAATATATTTCGTACAATAATTAACAAAATATAATTAAACTATATGATAAACTGACTTAAAATAAGCATGCAAATTGATAATAAATTATATTAATTATAAAACTATTTTAAATCAAAGACTGAACAAAAGTGAAATGGTTATTAGTTATTTTTATATCGGTAATTTTACTTTATATCGAACATTTCATCTTTATATCGAAATTTTTAAGTTGTTGACTCGTACTCTGTTTGGTAATTAGGTACTTTAGTAAGATGAATTATTCCTTTACTGATTTGTAGAAAATATAACTTACTGTTTTCTTTGACTATGCCAATAATTTGACTTCACTGTGCGCTTCAGAGCTCAAGCCGAATGGTCCATATCATTCCATACGGCCCGCGGGTCATTAAAGGTAATTATCAGCGTGTACGAGCGGTGTTTCGACAGTCTGTCCAGGGTTTGATGGCTCTCCGATACAATATAAAGAGGTATAAGGGTGTTGTAAAGAGGAAACTAATGAGCAACTTGATCTAGATAATTAAATTCCGATAAATAACCGTATAATGGCTCGGTTATGCAGTTCCCTAGTAAAGTACCAATTAAAGCATTTCGTTTGCAAGATAAAAGATAATTTGCAATAAGTATTACAATCAGGTTAGTAATCTGACAGCAAAAACAATTCCTTATTAGTGTTTGATTGACGGAATAATTGGCCATTATGTAAATGTACTTATAAAATTCATTGTTTAACAGGAAATTGAACTATCGGTTAAATAAGTTAGTTTGATCAACTGACATGAGTTACAGCTGTGTACATTTTGTTCTCTATTAACTAAATATCATGTTTGTCTTTACACTGCCGTTCCCTTTTTATTTACATAAATGACCTGTCATGTTAAAGTAGGTATTATTGTTTAGTTACTTCATTAACCTTAACAATAGTTTATATGAATTATCAATGAAATGAGAACCTGCAATTAAAAATTCGTAGTTCATTCAATACCAAAAATATTTTTGTGACAACATTTAAGTATATGCTTAATCTTGCTACCATTAGATAAGGAAAAATAAATATTTCCTTGAATACCGTAACATGTACGAGTACCAACGGCCAACGCATCGCGGCATCGAACTTGAAATTTTTGGTTAAACTAAATAACATGGTTTATTTTAATGACCGTCCCCTTTTGTCCATTACACGACTAGCCGACTAGTTAAATGACAGTTTTTTCCAAACAAAACAAAAGTATTGAGATCTCTCGACACCATTTTAAAATCACTGTTCCAACACTCGAGGAGAAAATGTGGAGCAAGGGTACTCTTTAATGATGTACGAGTAGGTAGGTACGACAATTATTCTCAAAATGGTGACAAGTATTGACTAAATGCCGTTTGTGGTTAACATGGTATTTCAACATGCCTGAAGCGGTTTTTCCAGCTAGGGCATGTTGTTATTAAAGGCTGGGAACATACAACCAAAAATCGATGCCATCGGCATATTTCCCGTAGTTTCCCATACATTTTAATACTATCTTTCCGCCCGCGGCTTCGCCCGCGTGGATTTTTTTCTGTCACAGATAAACATTATCGCGCGCGTCCCTGTTTCAAAAACCGGGATAAAAACTATAATCCTATGTCCTTTCCTGGGACTCACACTGAAAGCAAGACAGACAGACAGACAGACAGAGTTACTTTCGCATTTATAATATTAGTATAGACTAGTATAGATGAACTCGCCGCACACGATTGACGTCGGCCGCCACACGAAAATGTATGAATCCTACAGGAAATATGCCGGTGGCGTCGTTTTGTGGTAATTACCCTAAGGGTAAGGATTGCCATCGTTCCTAATAACGGTTTGAGGAATCCCAAATGTTTTAATAGGTGTACTTGATGCCTTCCGTAATCAATCAACATAAGTGACGTACCTGAAATAATGTAATAAAATAAATTAATATTTTAACGGAGAATAGGTATAGGATGTAGGTAACTTGGACCTAGTACACTGTTTCAAGGAGTTGATAGGTACCTAAGAACGTTTTCCCTTTCGGGGTTTTCCCAGCACGCTCAAAACAACAACATTTTTCTCTTCTGACAGGTCCAGGATTAAATATAAGCACCAAATGTAAATCAGAAAAGGGCTGTAAACCAGTTAGAAGCGCTTTTGTATGTCTCGTCTGCAAAAGATTTAAGAAGTCCTACCTAAACATGCAAAAAGCTGTAAGAGGGATCCTCTCGGAAACTTCACTTATTTTAGGGACAGTCTTTCTTCGATGAAATATTTGTTACCCTTAACTCTTCCAGATTTATTCGAATAAAAGGAAAAGCGCTCGACTATTCTATTACATCAATGTCATTGGCGTTTTTATTGTCTTCAGGAAAATTCAGTGAAACGAAAAGAAAATGAAACATCGTATGTTTTATAACGACCAAGATACAATTTTAATACTGCTTTAAAAAATTATGAAACACTAATATTAAAGTATGAAACTGAAAAGCAAATCGCGTTTAATTAATATTTACAAAACTTGTATTAGTAGGTACACATGCAGAGTCTTAATTAATTTAGGGATGGTTTGTCAATCACTTAAGTAGCAATCCACTGCATTGTTTAAACCTCCTTCAAGGAGCAAGGTAATTAATAGATCATAATCGAAATAATATCATGAATTGTGGGCTTGTGTCTGAAAATTCATCTATACAGGGTGTTAGGTAAATGGGTATATGAGCCGACACTAGCCCATGTTAACATGGGCATATAAATGGTATGGTGAAGTCAGAAATTCGATATCATCATTATAATTTTTTTAATTTTCATACAAAATAAATTTTATAAAATACGATTTGTATGAAAATAAAAAAAAAATGAAGATATCGAATTTCTGACTTCACCATACNGGTATGGTGAAGTCAGAAATTCGATATCATCATTATAATTTTTTTAATTTTCATACAAAATAAATTTTATAAAATACGATTTGTATGAAAATAAAAAAAAAATGAAGATATCGAATTTCTGACTTCACCATACCATTTATATGCCCATGTTAACATGGGCTAGTGTCGGCTCATATACCCATTTACCTAACACCCTGTATATTTGTGTTTCGCATCGTCTGTGTTAATTTCCAAAGCGACTGGACTGTGTGTCATTAATCAACCTCGTGGTCCCACTCCAGATTTAACAGGTTTACTTATAAATTTGCGAGGATTTCCGTCCATCAATCATCCTTAGCCCGCTGAACATTACCGCAGGCTGAAGATTTTTTCCTCAAACTCGAAACGATGAGGGAAAAGTTGTGCCAAATGCCTTTACAAACATTGCCACAATATGTTTCATTCAGCACTTTTAGAAGTAAATTAAGTTAATATTTACCCGCCTGCGCCAGAAGGAGGGTTATGTTGTGATTGCTGACACGTTGAACATTGGCTTAAAATGATATTTCCATACTAAATGTCAGTTTAAATTTGTGTTCAACGGGCGTTTAACTTTTTTTAATTAGACACAACAAGCCCAACATGTTTATGTTTCTTATCATTCTGTACTAATTTTATACTACACTAGCGGCCGCCCGCGACTTCGTACGCGAGATCCCGTTTTACCCCCTTAGGGGTGGAGTTAGTTTCCTAAAATCCTTTCTTAGCGGATGCCTAGATACGTCATAACATCTACCTGCATGCCAAATTTCAGCCCGATCCATTTTCGGATATCTTTGAATGCAGTCCTATTTCTTTTCAAAAATAAAGGAATGTTTTCTGTGAGTAAAATTTCTATCTACAGTATTAAGAGTACTTTCCCTCCAGGTGGCATTACAAAATTCCACCCTGTATATTTAGATAATAATACTTTTACGTTAACAAGATAATAAAACAGAATGAGCAAATATTTTTATTTACTAGACACTCAATATGGTTATATTATTCAGAAAAAACAACTCAATGTTTTGGCTTGTTCGTAATTTCGTAAATTGGATCTCGCTGATCTAGAATGTTATTGAAAAAATGCCAGACCGATAAAATTTTGTAAGGTAAACGGCAAAGTTACAAGTTGTGTCTAACACATAAAAAGAGATCGTTTAGGGCCCATACACACCACCTGTTTTCAGACGTCGCGACGCTTCTAAAGCTTTACTGCTGCTGTGCAGTGTACCTACCATGAGTATACGTTAGGTGTGCTCGCTAGCGAAAACGTCAAAAATCTCTATGGAGATTTTGTTTCTTGAAAGTAGCCGCTAGGGGCGCTGCACAATATGTCATACAATTAATGTCATTTTTTTACGCAGTCGCTAGCGAGCACACGTAACGTAAACTCATGGTAAGCACACAGAGCCATAAAGTTAATATTCCTTCGAAATAGAGCAACAACCGCGAGCTATCAAACGAAACCGATTTTGGATGACACTGGATGTAATTTGTGTGTCAGTTGTCAGTATTATTTCACTATTTTGTACAACAAAGAACAAGTCACCATGCACGTTTCAGAAGCACTATTTCTCATAAACATCCACGATTTCAGTCACGTAAAATCTGAAAATGTCTTAGAGTTAAGTTTTTTGCGTGCCAATAAGTGCAAACGAACTGTCAAATAGTTGTAAAAAACGGTTCTCTTTGACGTGCGGCGACGGCATTACGCATCTCTTTTTATCACACAGTGTTGCTGCTAGTGACATCTCGCTCGCTTAGTTCTTTGTTGCTTTATTCGGCTAGGTATATTATATTTATGTGCATAGCTAAACTTTAAAGAGGCTGATTGCTTGCGATTGTTTTAAATTGCTGCATAGATTACGATAACATCGCGTAGACAGCGCGTTTAGATTGCATGAAAGACGTGTCAAATGGCGCCTGAAAAACGCGGTGTGCAT